TGGGTGCCAGGTCCATCTAGGTTGAACCCTGCAGCTGTAAACATTGCAGTTTCAGAGAAACTGCTATGTTTACAATAGGGTTAATTCAGCCTCTAGTGGATGTCTCACTGACAGCCGCTAGAGGCGCTTCCGCGCTTCTCACTGTGAAAATCACAGTGAGAAGACGCTGACATCTGTAGGAAAGCATTGAGAAATGCTTTCCTATGGACTGTTTGAATGCGCGCGCGGCTCTTCCCGCGCATACGCATTCAAAGCTGACTTCGGGAGAGGGAGGAGAGTTCCCCAGCGCCATTGGGATATGAAAGAGAAAGTCAGAACCTGGTCTTGTGCTATTCCGGCAGTGTCACCCCAGTGGGTATGGAAAATATTCCTAGAGTCATCTTCCTAGAGTCATATTCCCCCAGACACTCTCCAGACCCGGCCAAATGCGTTGAGAGTTCATGGACACTTATTGTTTTTTGTTTTTTTTCATCATTATTGTTTAAGGTTACACCCTTATCTGCTCCCATTTGATATAGAGACATTGATTGGCCATTTATCTATTTCTAGTTTATTTGCATTGTTGTTGAAAAATCATCGATATTTAAGTAGGACAGTGGGACTGTGGCTAACTTCCCCATCAAGGGGAAGTTAGCCACAGTCAGGTCACCCACAATATGCATGTATGGGGTGGAGATGTATTTGCTATGAATACTCCCGCCTCCACACAAAAAAGCAACACCCCCAAAAAAACATTGAAGAGGTAGTGAGATGAGTTAGTATAGCTCTCCGTGCAGTGAAAACTCAAGCCCTCGCAAAGATAGTCACCCATCAAATTAGAGGAGCTGAGCGAGGCAAGCCCTCCAATTGTGGAAAAGAAGGGTGAGGTACAAGCTGGGGTTCTCCGCAAGCCTGAGGTGGCCACCTTTCAGACTCACAACAAGGTGAAGTTGCCTATTGGGGAACAACCCACAATATATACACAACTATTAGAGCCTGATTGGATGGATATTAAAATGGAGGGGAAGAATATAAAAGAAACATTCTCACATAAGCATTACATAGGCAAGTGCACATTACAGTAGGTGTAACATTTTAAAGAACTGCAGCAAACAAATGGTAAAACTCCCCTACAAATTCATACTATATAAAAAAAACATATTAATACATGGCAGCAGGTTTTGACACCTTTACAGCACACTGAGTACCATAGAGCCCCAGAATGATATAAACAATTTTTCCTGTAATACCTCCCTGACCCAGGCTCATTCTACACTGCCACTGATCAAAACAGAAAAAAAGACTTCTGAACAAAACAGTCAGGCCAAGCTGTGAGAAAAAGGAGCTAGAGGTTCTTTGCAGGGTGGATGCGCCTGGTCTTCCACTGGCGATCTTGAGGAAGGCCCTCAACGGGGCCTGATTCTTTGCTCTCGGTGGATCCAGTTTTGAACTGCAGCTTAAGGGAGATCCAGGGTCCTCAGAAGAAGATTGGGATGTTGTCTGGCTTCTTGATGACCGCCCAATGTTTTCCTTTGCGGGCATGTAGGGAGAAGGGGAAACGCCACCTTAGATGCAAAAAAACGCGCTGTACCACGTTGCCATTGCCCTTTTGCATCTAAGGTGAGGGTAGAGAAGTCTTGGTAGAGGCTAACCTGGGCATTCTGAAGGGCCAAGCCTGTCTCCCCCTCCCCTTCACCATGATGCATTCCTTGTGGTGTAAGGAATGGGCGCAGTACTTGACGTCTCTAGGGGCACCATCTGGGTACAGCTGGCTCAGGTCTCGTTGGGCTCAGTCCATGGAGAGCTCCTCTGGGTCCTCATTGCCAAGGACAAAATTGAACAGGCTTGCAAGACAGCCTCCAGGGGCTCATCAGTCTTTGTCTCTGACAGTCAGTGGATCCGGCTGTTGTTTCTTTGGCAGCCATTATCAAGCATGTTGCCCTGTTGGGAGGCCGCAAGTTCTGCAGCATTGTGTTGCTGGTCAGAGCACCTGAAGGTAATCTCAATGGCATTGACTCCCTGTCCAGTGAGAAGACATCCCTGCAGAGGTCTGACAATTCCACATGGTGCCTTTAAGGGAGGATTCCAGCACTGTCGCACCCCCCCTTAGTGAACATTGAGGTGCGTGTGGCTTGCAGTTCCTTTCGCAGTAACTCTAGCGGTGACTGGGCGTCTCAGTCCCCCGTTTCGGCAGAAACAGTGCTGCTGGGCTCAGAAACCGAGGCCGCCATCCACTGTGAGGTTTCCATTGGGGCTAGGTCGGCCAGCAAGGTGGACCCAACCTGGAAGGCGTTTGGTAGTCAGTATTATGATCAGGGGTTGAATGGTACTGTAATTAGCAAAAAAAATAAGTGATATACTTGAGTTAAAAATGAAGCCTTTAGTATGTGATATTTTCTTTGATAATGAAACCTAAATTTCAACAGAATTCAGCAACTTTTCATGCTGCTGCTGTGTGCAAAAAGTGATTTCAGGAAAATCATATTGCAATGCCAGAATGGTCATGTAATTGTCATGACCTGAATCACATAGAAAGTTTGTGGAGCCAATTAAAGAAGCCTATTGTTAGTCAGGAACAACCAAGGAATTAAAACCATTTGCTAGAAACAAGCATGCACTCTCAGTATCACATAATAACACCTGATAAATAGTGATGTTCCAAACGGTTCGCCGAACGGTTCGTAACGGACGGTGAACATATGCGCTGTTCGGTCCGCCCCTATGTCATCATTGAGTAAACTTTGACCCTGTACCTCACAGTCAGCAGACACATTCCAGCCAATCAGCAGCAGACCCTCCCTCCCAGACCCTCCCACCTCCTGGACAGCATCCATTTTACATTCATTGTGAAGCTGCATTCTTAGCGTGGCGGACCGTTCGGCGAACCGTTCGGCGAACCGTTCGGGACATCACTACTGATAAACTAAAACACTTGGTTCACTCCATGGGACGTTATTGTAAGACTGTAATTGCAGCACAAGGTTTCCCGACTATGAAATATGCTTTATTATAGTTTTCTTTGACTCATCATGGTTGTCTGTGAAAAAAATATTTTACAATGATTTTTTTTTAAATAAAATCAGTGCATTTTAATCTAGATTAAATTACAAATCTGATAATATATCATTTTATGGCATTATTCAAAAAAGACCGATGTTAAGAAAATCAAACCACAGAAATAAACATTTTCCAAAGGATTTCCACAATTTTGGCAATTAGTGAAAACTAATCATAAAACTGTCATTAAAGGGTAAATTAACCTTGTCATATTTTGATACAGTAATGAAAATAATTTGGAGTATATATTATTTCTATACATATTATAGATGACATAACTTTCAGTGTTTTTGGAAACATTGCAGGTACATGATTCTTTAGCTTTACAGGAGTTATACGTTTAGAACAAATCTAAAAAATATTCTCATTTTGTTGCTCATGATTCAAATGAAAATTCGAATAGATCTGAGACCCTGATGGTGACTATGGAAACCAATACATTAAATTAAACATCTAGGGAAGACAGGCGTGACAAGACACATATTATTTCTATTAATGTGAAAGCTGCATTGACAGTTTTCAAAAAGAAACAATAACTGTCAGTCGACTGACAAAAATAATATCCTAACAATGGTTAACCTAGAAACTGCAAATGCTATGAGCTACAGTGTTTGAGATGTTCATGCATCCTTTTAGTCAGCAAACAATATGATGTGACACGAGTATGTATAAAATATCTCCTCTGCAATTATTTGCCTGCTGCCCAAAATATGACATCACATGAGATATGGAGGTCTGAATCTTTCAGACAGGAAAAGGAAGCATTGAGGTCTGCAATGGTAATGAAATTAGCTGAGGTTTGGACTGGCTGATACAACAATGGAAGGATGGAAAAGGGTAGGTTGGAATTAGAGTTGAGCGGACACCTGGATGTTCAGGTTCGGCAGGTTCGGCCGAACTTTGAAAAAAAGTCAGTGTTCGGGCTCGAACTTGACCCAGAACCCCATTGAAGTCAATGGGGACCCGAACATTTGGCCACAGAAATGGCTCTAAAAACTCCTGTAAAGGGCTAAAGTACTGCAAAAGGAAGTAAAATGGGGCTAAGAGTAGGACAAGTGCCCTGCAAACAAATGTGGATAGGGAAATCACTTAAAAATAACATAAAATAAGCAGCTGCTTAGTAAATAACTTCCTCATTCACACGGTATTAGGGAGCTATCTACCAAAAGGCTGAAACACCTAAATTGGTCACCTAAATTGGTCTTTCAGCCACATTTACTAATACTAAGTAAAGATTACTTAATATTAGTAAATTCAGACCCTACTCACTATACCGCGAGTAGGTGGCATGTCTAGTAAACAGTGAGCAGCCAGTGGCTGCTCACTCTAAACCCCCCCCCCAAAAAAAAACCTATTGCCCCACCTCTGTGCAACGGGTGGGGGCTCTAAATAAGAATGTGGAGGGGGGGACCTACTGTCCTCCCCCCCAGCCCCCACCCCTGAGCGGTGGGTGGGGGCCATATATAAAAATTGGGGGGGAACCTAATGTCCTCCCTGAGCAGTGGGTGGGGGCCATAAATAAAAATCCCCCCCAGGTGACTGGGGTCACCTCCCTCCTCCCCAAAAATGTACCCCTACTTACCTCCCTCATCCTAAAAATAATAAGGGGGGACCCTTGTCTAAATATCTGAAAAAAAAAATAGACTTACCATTTGATGTCTTCTTTCTTCTAAAATCTTATTTTTTCAGCCACAAAAAAGGCCAAATAAAAATCCAGAATAATAGACACACTTTAAAAAAAAAAAAAAAAAACGAGCGCAAAAAAATAATAAACCTTCTTCACCCATGGAGGGCTCCGCGCAGACTGAGCTCTGCAGGGCGGGGGAAGGCTTATAAAGCCTTGCCCCACCCTGCAATTAGGCTCAGAGCACTCTGATTGGTGGGTTTAAGCCATCCAATCAGAGTGCTCTGACTGTTAAATGTAGAGACTGACAGGTACATTTACCTGTCACAGCACTCTGATTGGTTGGCTTGAAATCCACCAATCAGAGTGCTCTGTGTCATTTTACACAGCGTGGGAAAGTTCTTTGGAATTTTCCCACGCTGTGTAAAATGACACAGAGCACTCTGATTGGTGGATTGCACGGAGCGGGGTGACGATTTTTATTTATGGCCTCCACCCACCGCTTAGGGGTGGGGGCCGGGGGGGAGGGCATTAGGTCCCCCCCTTATTGTCATTTAGGGCCCCCACTGGCTGTGCAGGGGTGGGGGCCAAGGGGGAGGAAATTAGGTCCCCCCTTATTGTTATTTAGGGCCCCCACCCACCGCGCAGGGGTGGGGGCCGGGGGGGGACATTAAGTCCCCCCCAATTTTTATTTATGGCCCCCACCCACCGCTCAGGCACCGAGCACTCTGAGGGCGGGGAAGGCTTGTTAATTGGTGGGTTTAAACCATCCAATCAGAGTGCTCTGACAGGTAAATGAAGAGACTGACAGGTAAGTCTCTACATTTACCTGTCACAGCACACTGATTGGTTGGCTTGAAATCCACCAATCAGAGTGCTCTGTGTCATTTTACACAGCGTGAGAAAGTTCTTTGGAATTTTCCCACGCTGTGTAAAATGACACAGAGCACTCTGATTGGTTATTTAATACATAAATTCCAAAGAACTTTCCAACGCTGTGTAAAATGACACAGAGCACTCTGATTGGTGGATTTCAAGCCAACCAATCAGTGTGCTGTGACAGGTAAATGTACGGACTTACCTGTCAGTCTCTTCATTTACCTGTCAGAGCACTCTGATTGGATGGCTTAAACCCACCAATTAACAAGCCTTCCCCCGCCCTGCAGAGCTCAGTCTGCGCGGAGCCCTCCATGGGTGAAGAAGGATTATTTTTTTTTTTAAAGTGCGTCGGTTATTCTGGATTTTTATTTGACCTTTTCTGAGGCTGAAAAAAGACGATTTTAGAAGAAATGGTAAGTCTATTTTTTTTACAGGTATTTAGACAAGGGTTCCCCCTCATTATTTTTAGGATGAGGGTGGCAGGCAGGGTAATTTTTATTTATGGCCCCACATTAGGTCCCCCCCTTACTTTTATTTAGGACCCCCACCCGCTGCACAGGGGTGGGGGCCGGGGGGGAGGACAGTATGTTCCTCCCCCTTATTGTTATTTAGGGCCCCCACCCACCGCTCAGGTGTGGGGGCCTGGGGGGGACAATAGGTCCCCCCCATTATTGGTATTTAGGACCTCCAACCCGCTCAGAGGTGGGTGCCCGGGGGGGGGCAATAGGTCCCCCCTTTAGTTTAAAAGCCCCCACTCATGCGTCGCGGCTGGGGGCTCAGGAGGGGGGAATTTTTTTTTTAAAACAGTGAGCAGCCAAAGGCTGCTCACTGTTTAATAGACATGCCCCTACTAGTTGGGTCACACGCTGCACTGGCCAATTACAGCCATGGCATTAGTAGGCATGGCTGTGGTGGCTTCTAAGGGCACACGAGTCAAACGCTTGTTGATTGGCTGCCCTGCGGCCTTTCAAAACGCGTCATTAAATCGCAGAACTCCGAACTCCAACCCGAACATACAGTGATATGTCCGTGTTCGGGTTCGGGGTCCAAAAAACTTAATGTTCGGTACGAACCCAAACTTTTCAGTTCGAGTTCGCTCAACTCTAGTTGGAATGAAAAAAGAAATGTGGAACAAAAATTGGAAGAAGTGACAAGACTTATACAGGAATTAAACAGACACTCAAGTTTGAAGAGAACTTGAATGATGAAAGAATAAAAATAAAAATAAGATAAGGTAGTGTGAAAAATAAAAGTATAGATTTAGTATTGACAAAAATTGGCAACAATGAAAGACTGAAAAGAAAATGAAACAGAAATAGGCTTTGGAGCCTGAGGAAAAATTCAGGAGAGATTTATAAAAAAATAACCTTTCCACTACAAAAACTAGCTTCTGAGTGACATGGATGTAAGCATTCGGAAGGATTTGAACTCTCTGCAGATACTCTATCTTCCCTCTGCCATCTACTGAGATTGGCTTCAGAAAGGGTAGTGCCCTTAAAGGGACTCTCCAGTGCCAGGAAAACAAATCAGTTTTCCTGGCACCGCAGGACCCTGCAGTGCCCCCTCCCTCCCACTCCATCCCATGATGTTAAAACCCCTTCAGTGACTTACCTGAATCCAGCGCTGGTGACCCTCGGTACTGGGTCAGACTCCGCCCACACTCCTCCCCCACCAACGTCAGCCTGCGGGGAGGCCTAATGCGCATTTTACATTATTAGTTACCATGCTGTGACAATGATTTATATATAATAGGTTTAGGGACTTCGGATAAATCGACATCCAAATATATATCTAGCCAAGCCAACTGTTCCATGAGATCCATGAAGCCTTTTCTTTGCCGAGCTATAAATTCTGCCTGTATGGTCTCGTTACTTTCTTTCTTTGAAATGACTTTGATGAACAATGCCATCTTAGATTTTTAATCAGCATAACTTCCTTTGTGAAATCCATCTTCATTGACAGCTGGCTACAAACTATTTTTGCTGCTTGTATGGGTGAAAGCAGCACTCCCTACAGCCTTTGCCATCACACTTCCAGTATCAGTTTCCCTGAAAGCCATATGTTTAGTCCAAAGATTATTACAGCCTAGGACTGCTGTTTGAAAACCTTCAACCTATTATGTTTGTAGTGTTGATGCTGCTAATTTATCTTGCTAAAACCGCAACATTTACTGTACTGCAATATACTCAATGGATGATCTGTCCAAAAGCATCATCCAGTTGATGGTCTTGTATTCAAGTCAGTAGCTGCTGGCTCTGCTCCTGTCTTCCTCTGACCTGCTCCTGTCTGCCGACATCAGCAGAAGTCTCTGTGCATAATTTTATTAATGACACGGAGGCTCCTATTATGCTATCTCTTTCTTACTTTATTCCTCAGCAGCAAAGAGAAATATAAAACTGAAAGAGAAAAAATGTAAATATGAAATATTATAACAGGTACAACCAGATCTGCCTAGTAACAGGGCAGCCAATCAGCTTAGTAGGAACAGTCCATAAATGTCTTGCTTAGTACTTCCACTCCCTCTTTCTTTGCTGCTGTCCTCAGACCAGCTAAGTATAATTTTACCTCCTGTATATTGTTCTGTATTTTGATTGTCAGGGTGGTTTTGCCCTGATTATTTATATTACTTATTGTGGCTTTTGCTTTTAGTAATTATATTTGTGTTTTTATTGTGTTATTTGTTTTTCTCTCCCCTTTGCCCGGTCTCCCTGCTTGTGCTGTATTTCTGTCAGCACAGGCTGGGATCCGCGGCTCTCAGGGGAAGTGTTTTGCATTTGGAGCTTCTGGCTCCCTCTTCCCTCCTTAAACCTCGCGGCCGCGTTATCTGCCGGCCCGATGAGTCTCCTCGCACCCGCTGTTGCGAGGGAGTTCCCGGCGCTCTGCTCGGTGGCCATCTTGGATTATCGGCACGCACGTGGCTGGGAGTGCTCGGCGGGTCGGCTCCCTCCTTCCCCCCCTTTCGTTTTTTTCCTTTACTGTGCAGGTATTTTCTGTGGGTTACTCAACCCCTGTTAGGTTTTGTGTTAGGATAATTTCACCTTGTTTCATTCTATTATTTACTGCATTACTGTTCCCTGTAGGGATTTTTTATGGTACATTTATTTTCTGGTTTTGGGTTCACCCCTCCTGCTCTATCATGCAGGCCAGAGGTGAGGAGTCTGACAGCCCCAGCTACCCCATTATGGACCCCATGCAAACCCCTGTCACTGGGAAAAGTGGCCTCACTCCCTCCCAGGAGTTCCATGCCCTCATTGACTCCACCATGAAGAGGGCCCTGGCTTCGGCCATGGGATCAGTATCCTCATCCCTGTCTCACACCATTCAGCAGGTGTTGTCCCAACCACTGCCTCCCTCTGTGGTACCCAATCTTCAGCCTGTGCTGTAGCCTCAGTCGGGCCGCAAAGCGCAGGCTAAACGGAAACACGTCTCCCATGATATGATACAGGTGAAACCTGCCCTGACTGACATGCCTATGGCTGTCCAAGATGGTGCGCTACCACGCAAGAGAGCCGCTGGACGGGCAAAATCGGCCAGAAAATGGAAAAGGGCGCGTGCCCATGTTGACGAAAGATCTGACTCAGATCAGAGTGAGGAGTCGTGCTCGGATGCCCATGAGTACACCTCTTATGAGGAAGGGGGCTCTGATGCTGAGGTGGGATCTGACGCTTCGGCGCTACCTCCGGACGAGGGGCAAGACACGTGCGATCTGCAGGGTTACCCCCTGTTCGATCCTGATGATCTTCGCCATCCCCGCTCGGCGGAATGGGACCCACCCAAGCATATAGCTAACTACCTAGCTCCTCTGTCTAAGGAGGGGCACAGTAAACTACGGGCTGAATGCCCAAGGCCCTCAGTGCCTGATGCGGCGTGCAAGACGCCAGAGGTAGACCCTCAGATTAATCAGTTCCTGGCAAAAACGGGCTGGAAGCCCAAGAAGGGGCTGGAGTTCTCACTCCATAATTGCCAGGACAAAATTTTAGACACCCTGGGGCCCGCTGCCAAGCTATATGAGCTATTAGAGGCAGCTAAGGCAGGGGACACCCCCCTGGATTTTGATGAGGCAATAGGATGGGTATAAAGACTGATTTGTCTTCTCGGCAACGCTAACACGGCCATGTCGGCCGAACGCCGCAAGGCGATCTTGCTCAAGATTGAGCCAAAACTAGTAAATCTAGTGGTGAAAGAACCGGGTGCTGCCTCCAAAGGTATGATCTTCGGTGAGTCCTTTGTTAAGGACCTGGGCTCCTTTGTGCGCACCTTCAAAGCCCAGTCTAACTTAAAACGGGTTTTTAGCCCAAAGGTTTTCCATGGGGCCGGGAGGTACAGGAGCCTCACGGACTCACAGAGGTTCCTTTACTGCCCCTCGGGCCTACCAACATTACAAACCGGCTCCTTTCCCTCACGCGGGGGACCGTGGCAGAATCGAGGAGGACATGGTCAACCCTAATACAGACGCCCTTACGGTAAGTACCCTGGTGTGTCACGGACGTTCCCCTGGCTACTACAAGACTCCTGGAGAATGCCTGGGCACCGGGTACCAGAACAGCTTACAAATCTGCATGGCGTATGTGGTCTGGCTGGTGCCTGGGAAGACTGCTGGATCACCTTTCTGCCCCTCTGA